AAACATCTTGCATGAATAGTTTCTCTGTGGCTGCACCACAGAGATGAACAGAGAAATGGGGCCTCATTTGGGAAGGCTCAGAACACTTAATTCTACCTTATTATTAAGCCTCGCCTCTACAAGAGTAATGAAGAGAATTCACCATGGCTAGATTATGCAGTGCATTACCAGACAACACCCACTCAAACAACTAGAATGCGCAGATACTGTGCTGTTTTTATCACCTTGGATTCATTTTTGGAAGTAGTAATTAGCAAATGTAGTACACCAAGAAAAATGTGTTTATATTTTAAATATCATAGAGTCCAGTGGCTTTAGATTTTTGACGTGGTTGATTTATGTTTCTTGCACTGGTTTTTAGTTTTCCAAAGTAAAATAAAAAAATAAATAAAAATAATGACTCCCAAAACATTAACAAATAGGAAAAATAAGTTTCATTATAAATTGAACTGGAGAAACATTTTCTTGCTTCAGTAAATTCCCCTGTTGATGAAAGACCTTTGTCTCAATATAAAAATAGCTTTAACATCTACATACGATCACTTGGGATATGCAGTGTTTGCATTATTAATTGGAGTTTATGCATCTGCTTATGTAATATTCAGACTGCACTTCAGCAAGAAGCCTAATGTAAGGAACAGGTTTGCTAACATTGGCAGATTGACTTTTCTACAAAAACTAACTCTTGTTAATCTGCTCTATCACACTAAAATTTGAAAGTCTCAATATTCTTTTTATATTTAGTGAAGAAAAGCAGAAAGAAGCAAAGTTAACTGAAGTTGGGTATATTGTACCTTTCAACTACACACTTGAACTACAAACAACACATAAATTCATTATACTGTTACGTGATGGGTTCAGTGAGGATGGAGACAAGAACTCAAGCTTTTTTAGTGCACACAGTCGACACTTTATTAGTTGGATGGGTGTTCGGCTCAGCACCAACCACACAAGAACGAAGACCAGCCAAGCAGGTTACAACACACTAGGGTCATTTCAGGTACAGGTGTGTGGGCATAGGGTGGTAAGTGGGCACAGGTATTAAAGGGGTGCAAAACTGGGGGATACATATTTTACAGTAATCTACCTCTTTTAAGAAGAATTTGCCCTTATCTTTCAAAAACAGTATTGTACAAATGCACCATTGTCTGAAACGTTCCCCCCAAAAGACCTGTGCAGAATATGAACCTTTAACTTCTAGGTCAGCATGTATAACTATAAGCTGGTCTTCACGTGTAAGCAAATGACTTCGTGCTGTACAGAGTAATACTTCAACAGCACAATATTGAAGACATTTATTTAGCTTTTCTCACTAGTCATACAAAAGTTTTATTATTTGCACATTATTTAATTTAACATATTGACAAGCAGTGAAATGTCTTGGGTAAAGATAATTTGATTTGATTACAGTATCTTAGCTTTGGGGTTTGTTAGATACAGGGCCATCTGGAATGATGGTTATCTGTTTTTCTTTAACCACTGCAGATTAACAATGAGAGCCATGAAGTATTTTTTCTATTTCGGATTTTTCCTGATTGACCTTGTCTTTGACATATGGGGACTTCTTATTCCTTTTAATGATATGAAAACCATTAAACCAAATGTATTATCATACAACAATGGCTCCAAACACAAAAATCTATAAATTCCTCTCAATTCAGGCTAGATATAACTGTTCATTCACCTTTTGAACAAACTTTAGAAAAACATCATATGGTGCATCTACTTATTGTAACGCTGCTCTGTAGAGGTGAAAAGGATCCGATGCAGATGCAGGAGTTGTAGGGAGGTAAGTAAGCGTACAGAGCAAAACCAGGAGCTGAGTCGTAGTCCGAAGGCGAAGGTAGGTCGAGATCCGGTAAAGGCGCTGGTGGCGAACAATCCAAAATGTGAGACAGAATCATGGTCGAAAAGAGGGCTGCAGGGTCAAATCCGAAATAGGCACAGATAGCAAACAATCCAAGGGGCGAGATGAGATCCGAAGTCTCGCCCCTTGGGCAAAAGGGTAGACAGAATTCCAGGAAGGCAAAAGGGTAAGAAACGCTAGGCAGAGCAACAAGAAGTGAACTCAATACCGAGCAACGGGAAGTAGATTAGAATAGTATAAATAACCCGGCGTGCCACACGATAGAGCAATTGCAGGTGTGTTAACTCGTGCGGCGGTGCTTGTTATGATAAAATGCAGGCATGATCCCAGAGTTAACACTCCTGCAAATGGACAGCATAGAAGGACAGAATAGGGCAGAATGAAAGTTTACAAATGAAGCAACCATTCATATCATTTAGTTTTGAATAAGTAATCATTCCAAGCATTTCTTCAAGGAAGCTAGGATATCAGCTTCAAGAGCATGGCTGGGTATATTTTATTGCAGTCTCCCACAAACCTTTGTCTAAAGAAGTGCCTCTTAGATGTCAATTTCAAAAACTCTCTCAGTTGACTCTGACGAAATGCAATGAGTTGACTGTCTATGTTTTTGAGGGCTATGAATGCTTGATTCAGGTCTGTACAAGGCTGGTATATTCCTTTCATTGTCCATGTCCATGTCACTGAGGGACATTCCTTTAAGCTCAAGAATGCATCTAATCTGTGTTCTCTGGACTGATTCTTGAGCAAATTCATTGTGCACTTTAAATATAACATCCCTTGATTTAATTTCATTCTTGCCATCATTTTGTTTTGTTGCCCAGCTGCCTGGAGAACAGCGTCTGCTATGACAGCGATGAGACCAACCCCCGCAGTGTGTCCAGTATGTCTAACCGGTCATCACCACTGTCATGGCGCTATGGTCAGTCCAGTCCGCGACTGCAAGCTGGGGATGCCCCCTCCTCAGCTGGGGGCTACCACAGTCAGAGCACACAGTATGCCTCACATACCATGCCCATGAGGAGCCCCAGTCGGCTGAGTCACATCTCCCGCATTGAGCTAATCGAAAGCCTAGACCCTGATGACTCAGACCTGAAATCTGGATACATGAGTGACAGTGACATCTTGAGCAAAAGTCTTCATGATGATGATGACGATGACCTCGCCAATGGGTAAGAGCAACAATCCCATCTTAAAAGTGTTCTGCTTTTTAAAAAAATGTGTAGACATTTCAGGAGCAGATTTTATAAAACTAAGAAATTCTGTGCCACAGAATAGGTAATCCCTGAATTTAACTCACCTTTGAATATTTTACCTCATGATGCAGGTGACTAAGCAATGTGTCATTAATCAGTTCCTGTTAAAGGACATTCATCAATCCTTCCAAAATACAATAACTGTAGGGATATAGTTTCCCCTTCTAAAGTGAGTCCTAAACTGAGTATTTCCAATGCACAAAGTCCAGTAGTATTTTAAGTTCCATGGTTTAGTTTCATTAAGACAGAGACCAGTAATGTTGTCAGGTGTACCAAGGTTATCTTGCTCTTGTAGAGTTTTGGAGTTAGTAACTTTTTTGTAATTCCTGAAAAGTTCAAGGTTCTGACATTTGAATATAAATCTTTCTGTTTGGTATTATTTGATTTGATTTGATTTGATTTGATTAGGAAGGCACAATTAACATTGCTGCTCATTTTAAATGCATCTCCTTATTCAAAATGTTTGTGCCAATAGTGCTCTGTTTAATGCTATGGTCATTTATCTGGCTGGTAGACAAACGTCTTCTTAAGTTTCAATGTAAAAAAGACAGATGTTGTGTTAGATTACTGGGCAGAAATTGATGGTTTCTGCTTGTTTCTGGATACACTGCTATGACTGTGTGGGTCAAGATTAATGCTCCTCTTTAGAAACGTATATAAAATGAAGGGATATCACACAATTAAGAGTAGAAAGAATGCCTCAGAATGGGAAATGTTTCACATATTTACTGTCCTCAGGGCATGAGTTCAGAAAGTTGTTTGGTAAGCAGTTTCAGGGAAGAAGAAAGCAGAGCATGGTCTATCTGGATCTCCTTGAGATGTTTCTGCTAGACTCATCCAGCAATCTTCTCTTTCTTCTTCTGTACAGAACATTTTGGTATATTGTTTTTTGTTTTTTTTCTTCACAAGAACGTTTTTAGGTCCTAATGCACTGATACCATTCCTCATTTTTCTCATTTTGCATTTTAAATGTGACCTTCTTTGGATGTCCACTGTTTATGTTTGATCCTTAGGTTTTCAGAATTGGAAATGTGTGTAATGCAGGTTGGTTAAACTACAGTAGATGTATTACATCAACATTTCAGTGGCCAGGACAATCTCTTCTGCCTTGGTGAAGAACATTGAGGATAAAAGTAAAACATGTTTTGTTTTATATACTGTATGTATGCTTTTCTGTACCATTGTACATTAAACCAGGTATTACCTAAGCCAAAAAGTATTTTAAAGACTTACCATTTACAGGTTAATGTGTGACAAGGAGTTTTTGTCTGTTAGGCATACTATTACATATAGTAGTTCAGGTGGGTAGCTGCGTCAGCATGTGTAGGCTGCAAAGGAACAAGTAATAGATTTATTCCATGCTGAAAAGAGAAGAAAGAAAACACAATGTTTTGGCTGTGAAGCCTTCTACAGGTGTGAGAAAGACAGGGCAGTAAGCAAAGGTAATGTAGCAGAGGAGAACAAAAGCTGTGAGAGAGGAGGAGCGGGAGGCAGGAGCAGGGGACAGAGTGGCCAATTAGGTAGTGTGAAGTCAGGATAGGTGAAGAGAGGTGTGAAATGAAACCTACAATGAATAGAGAGAATATAGTGCAATAACAGTGATTTACAAATTTATGGTAAATAAACTGTCTTTGCAGGGTACCTCAGTTAGGTAGTGAATTTCAAGTACCTCTGAGCTTGGTGCAGTAGATAATTAAGGAATCAGAGATATCTTGACTAAAGTCTTATTCTGATCTCTAATTTCTTCCAGCGGTACCTCCACCAAGTATTGATTAAGGGGTGAAAACTTATATCAGTCATTTACCTTTGATTTTGATTTGCTGGAATTTAATTTCTTATTTTTATCCATAAAAGTCTTTGAACATTCAAGATTTCATTAAAATATTGACTTTCAAAAATGAAATACACATTAAGAATTCAACGGTCATTGGAAGGCGTGAAAGCTTGTAAGAAGTCTATTTTCTTTTGCTAGGCACTATATATAATAATAAACACACACACTTTTCAGCAACCACAAATTTTTTTGTTTATTTCAGTTATCTTCCAAAAATGTACATTCCAAGGACAATTTGTCTTCCTCTTCCTGAAAGTGATAAAGATATCATCCTCCTCCCTCTCAACCTTTGTTCTCCCGGTACTTTACCTTTGCCTACTGCCCTGTCTCTCTCACACCTGAAGAAGGCTCCACGGCCAAAACGTTGTGTTCTCTTTCTTCTTTTTTTCAGCATGGAATAAAACTATTACTTGTTCCTTTGCAGCCTACGCATGCTGACGCAGCTACCCACCTAAGATATCATACTGTAGCACACATGCTCCCAATCTAAACGGCTGTTTGGAAAATATGTACGTTGAATAAACAAAACAAACAAGAACAACAAAGTCCCAGTCTGTACACATAACTAAATAGATTATATTAAAGATGTTGAAGATTTCTGATGTTTGGTTGACTGCTAAAGAGTTAAAAACAAAAACATATCTATATTTATATCATTTATAATTGTCAAGAAGTATGTATTTTTAGCCTTCATTTCACCGAATCATTTGGGGACCCTGACAAGTAAGAAACGGTGTTATCAATATATATATAGTATACACAAGTTTATATAAGAAGGACCTTTTTAGAGGGACCTCTTTTTGCCTTATCGAAGCACTTGGCACTGACAGGGGGGCAGTGACGGCAGTGCGCGGAGGGGCGTTTCACAGGCGAACAAGTCCAAAACTATCCAGAAGGGGAAATCAGGAAGCAGTCCAAATGTCCATAGCCGGGAGATCCTTCCAAAACAAAACAAAAAGGATAAAAACCGGAACGGGATCCAGTGCAACGAGAGGGATGACGGGGCCAGGCGCTCTGAGTCAGGGAGTAGCGAGAGCCCTTGCCTTAAATGAAGTGTGGCAGGATTGGCGGCCTGTTCACATGATCAACTAAAATGTGAAAGAGCCGGAGTGCCCTTAAGAGGACGGATTACAATTGTGACACCTTTAAAGAGAATAGTTTTCTTACTGTGTTTGAAGAAGTATAGAAAATTTTGAAATCTGTAAGACAGGAAAGAATGAAAACCTTCCCTTTGTGTTACCTTGTAAGTGTTTCCATTGATCAGTGTTTCTGTAGTGCATGAGAATTTCTATCTGTGATTATGCCCAAGGTGTATATATAGAAGACATTTTCCATGCATTGCATGCAGGAGCATGATCTTCTTACACAAGAAAGCTTACACCAAACACCATGGTCATCTGATGACAGGTATACAACACTAAATCATCGGAAATTCATAAATGTTCTGTTTTTTGGCAATAATGAAGATACATTTAAGTTTTATAGCTGCAGATTTTGTTTTAGAGTTATACATAACACCTGCTTATTTTTAAAATATATATTGTAGAATTGAATTTGGATATAGAGGAAAATGCTTACTTTCAAAGCCAAGCCATTTGTTTGCAATTATGCATTTTATGAACTAGTTGGGTCGTCTTTCATCTACATTTTCAGAAGTGCAGCCAAAGCACTTAAAATTTTGAAAACCATGAATCAGAAAATAAAATTAACTTTTGTCTACACCTGGTTAAGAATAATAACTTGGATCTGCACACATACCTGTATTGTATTTTATTTCTTGAGAACAATATTTTCAGTTTTGAATAACAAGTAGTGTATTAAATCATTCTGCAAGGCTATTTAAGAATTAGATTACAGATATTTCTGGATTACTGCATTTCTGCTGTTTGTTTATTTATTTATTTCCTTTTGAAGCAATGCACTCCACTCAGGCACAATATAAGCTTATATGTCATATCCTGCATGCTGCATTTATATGGCATTTACCTACTTTAAATGGTTGCTTTTTATGTGGGATGAAAGTGATGCCAAAGTTTCTTATTTTTCACATAGACACATAAGATGTATCAGACACTCAAAAATAATGACCAAGTGCTAAACCATGAAACTGGGTTTCTTGTATATTTGGAAACACAAAAGTATAACTTCAAAAACTTAAATACCTATTTCTGTTTTCTGATAATTCATATTATTTGCTCCCCTAAGGCTTTTGCTTTATCAAAGACAGCTGTCTCCCCCCCAGTGCTGAGCGGCTGCGGGTACTGTGGTATTAATTTGGCATCATTGAGAGTTGTCTGGCAGTGATTTCAGTGTTCAACATACAGTTACCCAGCAAGGGGTTTCTTCTGGAGAGTTCACAACCAATAAACCAGTAAAAGGAAAAACATCCATCATTCAGAGGAACGGCTGTGGGATGCTATTTTTAGAGTGCCTGTTTGTCAGACCCTCAGTCAGTGAATTTTATGCCCTAGAAAACTATGAGTTCTCCCCCAGCTTTGAAGGTTGCAGACATGACACCTGACAGTTTCACTTTTATTCTCTTCTGTTTTTTAGTATATTAAGTCACAAGTCTCTTTCCTATGACATCCATAGAGGGACCCTTGCCTCTAAAGTGTCGGATCTGATGTCCTTTATCCATCATAAGAACATAAGGAGACCATTAGGACCTCTGTATCTTATTTGGTTCTTCTAGCTAATTGATCAGAGGATCCCATCTGGCTATTTCTTAAAAGGAGGAATTCATTTCAGCAAGCCGCTGGGTGGCTTGCTATCAAATTCTACAAACCTTTGGGTGCAGAAATACCTCCTCTTCTTCTGTTTTCAGTTTAAAATGCTCTTCCGTGTGGTTGTCCCTTGTGTACTCTGGTTGTTGTTTCATTAATGATTCTAAAGAAATTGTCAATGTCTTTAACGATTTTAAATACTCAACTTTGGATCCCCTCAAAGTCGTCTCCATTAAAGACTAAAAAGATTCTGTTCTTTTAGCCTGCCATAAAATATAAAAATATATACATACTGTACTGTATGTTTTGAGTCCAGAAAATGTACCAACTGTAACATATTAATAGTGATTGAAATTGTT